GAGGACAGACAGACAGGTAGTGGTTAGACAGGGACATGCTGCCCATCAGTCAGAGGACAGACAGACAGGTAGTGGTTAGACAGGGACATGCTGCCCATCAGTCTACAGGAGACAAAGACAGGTGGTGAGACAGACAGACCCCGGTATCACCAGCTTCTGTCCGTTGTGGATCCTATATGAGCACCGATAGTCTTCTGGGAGTCTGCAGCCGATCTGAGCCTCGATGTCGTTAAGCTCCACCTCTGTGGCTCCTTCTGAGGAGCAAAACAAGCGCACCACACGTCACCTCTAACATGTTATATAATAATATAATATAGGTTTTATATTCGTATTAAAGCTGTCCTCCATCAGGAGACGCTTAGATGTGAGACCTTTGAGAGAGGAGATCATACGAGGACACCTCTGTTGCAGGAAGACCTTCAGCTGGTCCCAGGACCTCTTCAGGACCGGGTAGTACTGGATGTACCGACCCAGGTCTGAGTAGAACCTCTTAAAGAGACAGTACCACGACACACCAGACTGGAGCCGGTCAGAGCTGTGGACACAGAGAGAGAGAGAGAGAGAGAGAGAGAGACACACACACACACACACACACACACGTTATTAATATAAAATATATATTTATAATATAATACAGCAGGACGTTACTCACTCGTCCAGCAGCCAGTGTTCAGAGCATTGTCTCCTCCACAGATGGTTTTGTTTGGACAAGTCGTTCAGCCTCCTGCTCACAAAACTACAACTACACACACACACACACACACACACCTTCATTCTTCTGAGGAAACACCAGTTAATCTGATCTTTAAAAAAAAGCTATAAAACACATTATCATTATTCGTGTGTAATTAAACTTGAAACTCAACACTCAGTACTTGTACACAAACATGTACTTTATATGTATTTATATCATTGTTAAACATGACGTGTAAACATCTGGAAGCTTCCCTTTAAAGGGTTAAGAGTAAAGTTACATTACTTTTAGATATTATTATAGTATTTTTACAGAGTGGTGCGAGTACTTTTACTGCAGTAACAAATCTGAATACTTGCTGAGTAGTAGTTTTATATTTAACATAATAATAATAATGAGCTGAACAAACGTAAACAAACAGCAGCTGTTAGCTTGATGCTAACCGAACTCAAGACAGTATCTTATAAAAGTAGCTTTAGTTAGCTTTGTGCTAAATGACAGCTACTGTTTACGTTTTATTATAATTAATACTTTCTGTATTTAAAGAACAGCGCGTGTTTATAACACTATTTATTACAAATTAGCACAGAATTAACAGCTAGTTTAGCTGCTAGGCTAACGAGCCGCTACAGCTCAAACAAACGAAAACCGGTTCTGTTTCCGGTTCCGGTTCCTCCGGTGTGTCGCGGTGTCACCGATCCGGTACCTACTGGATCAGGTCTCTGAAGCCCAGGAAGGAGAGCACGTGGAGCAGCGGGTCTGAGGGCAGCTGGTCCATCCGGAGCTCACAGCTAGCGTTAGCCGCCATTGTTAGCGTCTTCTTCTTGTTAGCGTCTCTTTTTATGGGTAGCATTGAGACGCAGAGGCGCGTTACCGCCACCTGCTGGTGAGGAGAGAGAATCACAGAGCGAGAGAGACAGACAGACAGACACACAGACACAGACACACACAAACAGACAGACAGACAGACAGACAGACAGACAGACACACACACAGACAGACAGTCAGACAGACAGACAGACACACACACACGCACACACACACAGACACAGACAGACACACACACACACTAAAAACCCTCACTGACCCACTCCTGGACCCCCTGCAGTTCGCTTACAGAGCCAACAGGTCTGTAGACGACGCAGTCAACTTGGCCCTTCATTTCATCATCCAGCATCTGGACTCCTCAGGACCCTACACCAGGATCCTGTTTGTAGACTTCAGCTCTGCCTTCAACACCATCATCCCGTCTTTGCTGCACGACAAGCTCTCTCAGCTGCACGTGCCCGACTCCACCTGCAAGTGGATCACAGACTTCCTGTCTGACAGGAAGCAGCACGTCAAGCTGGGAAAGCACATCTCAGCCTCCCGGGCCATCAGCACCGGTTCCCACCAAGGCTGCGTTCTTTCCCCTCTGCTCTTCTCCCTGTACACCAACAGCTGCACCTCCAGTCACCAGTCCGTCAAGCTCCTGAAGTTTGCGGATGACACAACCCTCATTGGACTCATCTCTGGTGGGGATGAGTCCGCCTACAGGTGGGAGACTGACCATCTGGTGACCTGGTGCGGTCTGACAAACTTAGAGCTCAACACTCTAAAGACAGTGGAGATGGTTGTGGATTTCAGGAAGAACGCAGCCCCACTGGCCCCTATCACCCTGTGTGACTCCCCCTATCACCCTGTGTGACTCCCC